TGCCCCCCCCCCCCAAAAAAAAAAAAAAAATCTGAATCCCTAGAATCACATATGATCGGATGTATTTTGAAGAACCAGAGAAAGTAATGAACGAAAAAGTACCTTTGGGAAAAATTGCCTGACTGGTAGACCACAAACTTCCTGAACACACAACACCATATTCCAATAGCTCAACATTGTAGCTTATTCTCCGCACTACCTTGGCCACTCGAGGCCCCTTCTGTGTGTGGTTATGTCTTTGAACAGTATTTAATGGAAATGATGAACATGTTTCAGCCAATTCTCCATTATCCCTCGTACTGTTAAGAGAATCAGATTCAATAACCTTTCCAGCTTTGTTAACCTCATTTAAGTTTGAGCTCCCAGTCAAACTTCCAGAGCACTGCTGCTTCTGCTCGCACCTAGCACTTCTAGCATCACGTTCACCCACTTCTTTGGCTTCCAAAAGGTCTATTTTTAAGCAATTTTTATGCTCAGAGGCTTCCTGAGCAATGGAAACTTCAGGAGAGTGAGGCGGGGAATTAGAGGAACAATTTCCAGAGCTATCTCCTTTTCCTTGTTCTTTGGACTCTAAGGAGGAAGGAAGAAGACAATGGACAATGCTTTTCAATCCATCCGGCTTATTCTCGATTTTTTTATCAACAACAGTTGGACATATCATGGGCAGCGCTAAAACGTGCTTGTCCAGAGAATTACAGCTTGATTCCTTGCCATCAAAGTTCATAAGACTCCCTGGATTTTCTCTCTTATTTGACCTCTCCTTTCCCAGCTTCGGAGGCATTATTTGTTCCCTTCTGTTTCCAACATCACCTAAAAATGGATCATCCATGGCAGAAGAAGGCACTGTTGACTTCACATATTGTAGTACAGAAGCCTTGCCATCTTGAGCTGAATTACTATTCTTAGATGTTACTGAAAAATCTGAACTCATGCACACTTTATCAATCCCTTTAGCTTCTGAGCAATCTTGATCAGAGAACCTGGATTGACATGATTTCTCTTTGTTGACATAAGAGCTCAAGCTCAACTTGAGATCCTGCAATCCCCATTTATGAACTGCACTCAGTTTTCCTCCTACAGCATCACTAAGAGTATTTAGTTCACTTATCTCATAACGAAATAGGAAAAATCGTGTTTTCCAATCACACGAGCAGAGATGCTTCGCATGTATTAAGCACGAGAATTTATCCGGTGAACACGGGCAACCAGCAGCCGAAATGTGCAAATCATAATGGCACAGGACACATTCTCGTTCACTTTCAGCATCGAAGGCAGGATCCATTTTTCGAATCTGAGAAAATGAAAGATGTTCCCTTCTAGTCCTCTCCAACTCAATCCGAGCCTGATTAAAAACCCGCAGCACAGAGTGGCAGACCTTAGTAATCACTTTAAGGAAAGAAAACAGGAATAAAGCAAAAAAAAAAAAAGAAAAAAAAAAAGAGGGCACCAACAAATGGAAAACCAAGTATTTAGTACGCGAGTTTGCACCTTAAGCGACTTGGCTAGAATTCCAACAGATCCAGAGGCTTCTTTCCATACAAGATTTTCAGGTGTGTCCTTCTTAAGGAATAAGACGTTCCACAGTGCTCTCACAACTTCTCTGGCTACTCCCAACAAAAGCTTGTCATGAGATATGGTTATCTTGCGCATTTGTTCACAGTAAAGCTCCACAGCATTTTGTCCATGAGGTAGCCAATCAACAGGAGCAATATTAACGGCCTCCGCACAGTTGAATCCACAATTGAAACCTGAATGATATGCTCGGGGAAAGGTGAGAACAAATTCTCCTGGATTTTGTATGCAACGGTAAACTGGCACCGATTCTAACTTCAAAATGGAAGGCGAAAATTGGGTATCCTGCAAATTTTTGTGAAAAAATTAAGATTATCCTTGAGATAATTGATAAGATATTAGTGAATACAAGCGTGTGTGCAAATTTTCAGACAAGGTTATGGAGTAAATTAGGCTGTTCTTCAAATAACTCTGCTAGATGTTTCTTCATAGCAGCCTCCAAATTCAAAGCTTCTCTTCCAGGAACTCCGTACCAGATTTTCGGAGCACCCCAGTGTAAATAATTCAAAGAGTAAAGGTGATGATCTTCAACATGCTGTTTCAAAACAATGATAAACAGGTGGTGAATTTAAGTAGATGAATATTACAATACAAAAATGTTCTGCAACAATTTATAAGAATCACCCAGCTAAAATAGATTAACTTGTAGGGGCATTTTCACAAATAGCATGGCATTCTTATGTATTTAAATATATCTATCTCACACCTAAACTAGCAAATTTATACATATCACATACAAAATAACGCTATTACTACTTTTTAAAGCTGAAATACACATTTTCATGCAAAAGTTTAAAACACCAAAGAGCTATATAAGTAAATATGAAAATTAAGATATTAGATATGTGTGCTGCGTACAGTTTAAAACACCAATACACAAGAATTGTGTGCGTGTATGCAAATTTCCCTGACTTGTACGAAGCCTTACCCAACAAAATGAAGAAAAGCACATGCCTACATATAACCATGGCACAAGAACACCAGATATTTCTCCACTTTCAAAAGCAAGCACAGAACCAGGAAGCCGAGGCACATTGTTCAGGTTCCAGCTACTTTTGGCATACCAATCAACAGAATCTGAACCAGGCGGACCAGAAGTAGCCTTAGGAAAACCGCTACCAAAGATTCTAGTTTCCAAATCAGCACCATAGAGAACCTGCAGAGACCAAAAATAATCATCATAAGAAAGTTCTATAAGATTTGCGGCTAATTCAATTCAGCCACTCACAATACCTCAATCTCTTCAGTGGGGTGCTCAACAATTCGCCAATATTCCCCTTCAATATTCTCAATAGATGGCTCCCATTGTTCAAACCTTAAGTTTGCATTTAAATTATTGCAAAAATATTGCTCCTTAAAATGATCTGCATATTTCTGAAATGTGTCTAGACTAAAATCTGGACCTTGTGCAAATCCACATCTTTGAGAATACGGCCCCGTTTTGTTGATTTCTGAAATATCTAAATTGGGTTCATTGTAAGCTGCCTTCATTTTAGCGAGCCTTCTCCTTTTCCGCTTCATCATTCTATGGTTTCTCAACAGCATTTTCGTCGTATCCCGGTTTTGAAGCTTGTCCACTCTCTGGATTCGAGTGGTAAAATTGGAGCCTTCCCATAAATGTTTTTCTTTAAGAGGACAAGAAGGCTTCCATGAAGGGGGAGGAACAATGCGACAAATTCCATATAGTTCTGCTGTAGGGCGTATACTGGCGATATATTTTAGAGTGTCTTTGAACTCCTAAGAGTAAAGAAAATAGAAACAAACAATAGTTAATCACTCCTCAATAAATGTTAAGATTGGGGAGGGAGGGGAAGACCTCTTCACTTGGATAGAACACAGGGGCATCATCAAGTATGGGCCTACATGATCCTTCTGGGCGCCATCTCGCTACGATCTATAGAAGAAATCAATCATTGAGCGAATTCAATAAAAAGTCCAAGCAATATGAAAAATGGATGCCAACCAAATATAAAAATTAACCTTCTGGCAATCGCCACATTCATTGCACCCACGAAAAACACCTATAGGAAGACACCGTACCGAAGCAGCATCCTACAAAGAAGAGTAAAAAATCATGTTACATTTCTGAAACAAAGGCCTTGTTTGAGATCATTATTGTTTTTATTTTTTACTTTTATTTTAAAAACATGTTTGTTAGTGCATTTTTTGAATGCTTTTATGTTTTGTTTTTAAAAGCAACTTTATTTGTTTTTAAAAACACTCAAAACATTTGGTGCCTGCTTGGGATCACTTTTTGTTTTCTATTTTTATTTTTGTTTTTAATATGTTTTATTTTTGTTTTGTTTTTTGTTTTCTAGTTTTAAAAAATGTGTTATGATTTACTATTATGATTTATATATTTTTTAAAACAAAAATTATAAAAACATGTTTGGTTGGATATTTTTATTTTTTTTAAGGAAAAAAATATCTTTTTTATAAATCGGTTGGGTCCACGTGCATTCTAGTATTAAGCTCTGTCGCCCATGATGTACACGGTGTTTTCCTTGCTCAACCAACATAAATTATTACCGGTGGAGGGCTACAGGCGGCCAGGGGCCGACCAGGGCAGGCAGGCGGATGACAACGAACGGTTAGCAGGGGCGAGTGGCCTGCGGGCGATGTTGGGAGGGGACCAACAGCAAGAGGAGGGCAACAAGAGGTGGCGGGCGACCGCAGGCAGGGGGACTTGTTGTTTTCAGTGTTTTAAAAACAGACAAAAACATATTTTTTCTGTTGAGTATTTTAAAAACAGAAGTGTTCCTCCAAAAAAAATAAAACAAAAAACAAATAAGCAAATATTTTTTTTTGTTTGTTTCCTATTTTTTGTTTTAAAAAACAAAAAAACAAAAAAAAATGATCCCAAACAATCCCTTAACGCTTCTTTGAGATCAACTTTGTTTTTTGTTTTTCCTTTGTGTTTAAGAATATGTTTGTTTAGTTTGCTTTTTATACATTATTATTTTTATTTTTAAAAACAAATTAACATACTTTTGAAACCACTCAAATAATTTCTAAGTATTAAGATAATTTTTAAAAACAACCATACTTTAATCATATAACCAAACATATCTTGTTTTAAATAAAAACATAAACAAAATAAAATAGAAAATAGAAAATAAAAAATAAAAGTGATCCCAAACGGCCCCTTAAAAGTTGTTTTGAGAGTTTTTAAAAACAATTAACAATATTATAGCATATCAAACATGTTTAATTTTAAATAAAAACATAAATGAAACAAACAAAAACAGAAACCAAAAGTGATCTCAAATGGCCTCAAAGAAAATGGATAAAAAACAAGCACATAATATGATGAGACAGTAAATAAATGCGAGTAAGCAAAATTTATAAAGTAGTTATAAGAACCTCCGGAATGAGAAACATAGATTCAAGTAAACACTAACAGAATAGCACTAACTTGGTCAGAAAATTCAGAGTCTGATTCCTCATCAGAGCTGTTATCAAACTGACAATAGTTCACCCAAGGCCTGTGCCTAAGAGACTTCCTTAACTTCATAACACCATTTGCGCTGCTCTCATCATCTACCATAGCCTTTCTGGAATCATTGACGGGTGTAGATGCCAAAGAACTATTCTGAACCCTCTGCAAGGTGAATGACTTCAGAGAAACAAAACCTGGAGGAACTGAAGATATTCCATCAGTTTCATCCATGACTGGAGCCATTATGCATCCTGTGATCATTTCAACTGAAAAGGAAAAAAGTTCATATATGAGTAATCGATGGTGTAATTAATCAAAGATATTTGCAGAAACATATTTGATAAAACCAAACATTGTATGAGAAATATAAAAGCTTTTATCGAGAAATATGCAATAAAATTTGAATCATGAAGTTTCCATAAAAATTCCCATAAAATGAAGTTGAATTCCCAAAGGATTATGTATTCGGTAAGTGTCTGTTTCTCTGACACGAAAAAAAAGCTAAATTTCTCCCTCTTTTTTTTTTTACTCTTCCACATGGATCTAATTTATGTGAAGAAGAGAAATTCATCTCTAATTAGAAATGAGGCCAAAATAAGTTCATCTGGGAGTGGCGCAAAAGAAAGAAGAAAACGCACATGAATAGGTCATACTTATTAATTAATATACCTAAGAACAATCATCCTAGTGTCATACCTTCAGTAAGGAAGGCTGCGCATTCAAACAACACGGAAAATGATTAATGAATATATAAACATGTTTTGTAACCATTGAAAATAGACATACATTAATAACAAATTAAACAAGAAAAGATAGTTTTTATTTCATTTAATAAATAAAAGTAAACCACTAATACAACTAAAGGAATAACTTGAAACTTAAACAAAAAAGAAAAAAAAGGAAAACTCAAATGACAATGAATAAACAACACTGCTAACAACAACAACGACAACAACAAAACCTTAAGCTCACTACGTGAGGTCGGTTACATGAATCCTTTTTATCCATTACGTCCTATTTAGTGTCATATTTTAATTTAGTTCTAATAAATTAAGATCCTTGTTTATACAATAAGCCCAAATCTTCCTAGGTCTACCTCTGCCTTTCTTAACATAAGTTGAATCTAAAACATCTACTCTCCAAATCGGATCATCAGATAGTCGACGCTTAATGTGACTAAACCATCTAAGATGACTTTCTCTAATTTTGTCCGTCATAGGAGCTAAACCAACCCTATCACAGATATATTCATTTGCATTTTGTCTCTAAGCCAATCATCCACATAATCATTCTCATCTCGACAACACTTAACTTAGTATTATGCTTCTCTTTTAAAGGCCAACATTCCGCGCCATAGAGCATTGCAGGTCTCATCACCGTTTTATAAAATTTCCCTTTCAGTCTAAGTGGTACTTTTCTATCACATAAAAGGCCCGAAGCATTCCTCCACTTCAACCAACCAACCAACTTGAATAAACAACACTGCCCAAACTAAAAAATTATATTAATAATATTAATAACTAATACATAAACTGAAAATACAAAAAGTTAGCCTGATTACAGCCTACAGCCACCAACTGCTAGTTCTGAAGATTGGCTCTGATGACTAGTAAGAAGTTAAATCCAAGTATTAATTGCACCATTTGCTATCCAATTCTAATGGCTAGTTAATGCAAATGTCTTAGGAAGGTTTTAGGTATTGCTTTTACCAATTTTGTTCTCAGATGATTGTTTTGTTATAGTGAGCAAAAAATTCCTCTTTAAGGGTAATTGAGTTCCCACATTTTGATGAGTCAATCCCCAATCGTCACTACATCGCAACCTTAATGAAGTTGCATAAACCAAAGAGAAACTAAAGAAGAATCCTAACCCTTCCACACAATGCAAAAAACATGAGATTAATTCTTATTCCTAATTTCTTCCACACAATAAATAGTTAACCATGATGGAATCAAACCAATGTTTTTAAAATGGGGCCTTTACATGCATACCACCCAATACCTATGTATTTACATATCTAAACTTTAAACTTTGATGTGTACAATAATAACACCCAAGTCATTCCTATCATATAAAAAATACCACTAATTTAACTTTTAAAAAGTGAAATGCATGTAAAAATTGTAGGTATTAGATATGTAATAGGATTGAGTGGTATGCCCCAAATGCATGTAAAAATTGTAGGTATTAGATATGTAAATACATAGGATTGAGTGGTATGCCCGTAAATATTCTTTTTAAAATCCTGTACAACGAGATGATAAAGGTTCAATTTTTTAACTGCTGGAATGCCTCCTTTTTAAGGTTAAAATCACCCTATTTCTCATGACATTGATTCTCTAGCGGGCATTTATGTATGAAAGTTTTAAGGGCATGAACATAGGAGTAGATGCGATCCAAGATATATATAGGTTTTTCCAAAACTGTACCTAAACTCTCAATTAATTAAATGGAAGCCTTGCATATATTTTTCTTACGGTCCCGAGATTTATCTATGATATGTTTAGAATATACTTCATGTTTTAAAGTGTTACTAAAAAATATAAGCTAAACACTCCAATCAGCGCTACTTCAACAATGATTGTTTTGCAATTTAAATCCAAAATTTATAGCATACATATTGCCAAATCTAAATTCCTCATCAAAATAACATATCAATATTTGGGCTCTTGCATCAATACATTAATTAAGTGATGCAGAACCTAGGAGTTAAGATAGATCAACTAATGATATAATGTATGAAACCACTCAATTTGGATTGAAATATTGCAGTTCAGAAGACCACAAATCAAACAATTATTCGATAATTTTTCATGCAACTAAGAAAGTACAAGAAATCTTCAAAAAAAATAATTTAATAGTTTATTGAGTGATAAAATATAAAATAATTTATCTAAGATATTGAAGCCATAAAAAATCACATATCAATTAACATGTGCACCACAAAAGAAATCGAATTGTAGTGAATTTGATTAAAATTAGTAGAACTCACAAAGCCACTATCAAATTATTTGTTAAGAAAAAGAACAAGAGATAAGGTTGCTAAACAAGAAAATGAGAATTTAATTACATAACATATAATTGATACGTACTTATAAATCTAATACATAAATTCCGCTATTTATTTATGAAGCAATATAGTGCTTTAAGCCTTTAATCACATCAAAACAAATGTAAGAAGTTGTTGTTCATTTAAAAAAAAAACTAATATTAGTAACTTTTTTACATGATTCAGCAATTTGGATGTTATATAAGAGATATTAAACTTTATATGTTAGCTATGTAAATGCATAAGAATTGTGTAATATGTAAGTAAATCCCCCAAAAGCTAATTCAGGCCTCACGCCACCACAAGAAACCACTAGAAAATGACTTCAGCTGAACTTGCACCACAATCAAAGGAATAAGCTTCAAGCAAAGAACATAAAATATCGAAAAGACCTATAAAGTTTATTCAATCAAAAAGCTTCTCATAGATGTTTCAGATAATAATTAAATGCAAATGATTTCCAGGTTTAGGTCGGTTTCCTTTAGAAAGTATTCAAAAACATTGAAATCTCATGAAGATTAACACCATAGCTAACATGTGCAAATCAAGATGAATAGCATAACAATTTTGCAATTTTTGATAAAATGCATCCATGAAACCAGGTAGAGAAGAAACAAGGGAAGAAAACACCATGAAAGAAATGATCATCAAAAGAATTTCCTTTAGAAAGTATTCAAAAACATTGAAATCTCATGAAGATTAACACCATAGCTAACATGTGCAAATCAAGATGAATAGCATAACAATTTCGCAATTTTTGATAAAATGCGTCCATGAAACCAGGTAGAGAAGAGACAAGGGAAGAAAAAACCATGAAAGAAATGATCACCAAAAGAGCTTCTATGAATAGTAGAACTCAATCACTGCTATAGGAACCATGCTACACGCGCTAAACAAATTGTTGTCACGAAATCATGTACAGGAAACTAGTGGGAAATGGTTCCACAACACTAGGAAGAATAGGCTATATAAATTATATTAAAAAAATAAAAGAAGTAATATCTATTGAATATATGCCAGAAAAAAATAGACAGTTGTTTAAGCGTATTCAAAGGAAAAATGCAAGAGATGCAAAAATTAGAAATATTATATAAAATTAATATAAAAGGATTAAGAAGAAAAGATAGAGATCGGAGATAGCTTGAATTAAAGTTGCACACAATGATTCATGTAAAAGGATTTAACCTCTCACGGAGCACTCAACAAGGACGAATGTTAAATTGAAACAAAAATCCAAGCCCAAATAACTATGATAAAGCCAACAATTATGATTATGAAAAGTATATATATATATATAATTTCACCTATAACCTCATAAAAATTTGGATAAGAAAGCTGTTTATTTTCCCGCATAGAATCATGTAGCAAGGGAGTTTTGTTGAAAATAATTAGTAACTCCCTCTATGATTACTTACCCTAAACACAAGGAAAGAATAGCCAAAATAGATTTCTATTATATTTTTTTTAACTCGTAAAATAAATGAGTACATGATTCTAATAGTCCTAGACGTTCCAGATGAATCCATTTTAGTCCCTAACTTTATCAGGTGTTCAATTTAGTCCATCCACTCACCCAATATAAATTGATGTGATCATTTTGTCATTTTTGCCATTTCTTTGGATATAAACTAGCATTTCGAAGGATATAAACAAGCGTGGGGAAAGCCTCCCATGAAGATGTTGTAGAAATTTAGGGTAAATCTCATTAATTAATGTCGATTCAACTTCATGACATTGACCCAAAAAAAATTCTAAAATTAAAATTCTAAGGAAATTATTTTATTTTTTTATTTAAAAGTTATAAAAAAAAGCCAAATCATATGAAAGATGCCAACGAAATGTTGGATGTTGCAGGAGATGGATTTGAGACTCAACAATAGGAAAATTTTAGACATTGTAAATATTTCTCTTGATGAGCCAAAGCTGGAAGCTATGATATTTAGGGTCTGTTTGGGGCAGCAGCGGAAGCGCGAAGCGAAGATGTCGTTTTGCATCGTTTGGGGCAGAGGCGACATCTTGTCGTGACGGGGTTTTCAACGTTTTAGCGAAAACGATACCTTCTTCGCGATATTTTTACTCAGGTACCCTTCGCGTCTTCTGCCATAAACTGCTTTCCTCTCGTGTTTTTCTCTTGTGCCCCGCTTTTCCTCGAGCCTAGTCCCTTGTCCTTATGGTAGATGATGACCTTCTTTTCCAACAAACACAGAGCCCTAATCTACTGGTCAGCGACTTCAATTCGTCGCCTACTAACTGGAGCAACTCTTCTCAGCGACATGTCCTGAATCCATATTCCAAAGACCCTCTCTCTATCACAAGCAAACAAAACTGAGCACATTTTCATTTCCAACTACCTCAAAATTGGCTCAATGGCTTTCCTGCTTCTTTAGTTCTTTCCAACACTACGGGACATGTTCTGAATCCATATTCCAGAGCCCTTTCTCCATCGCAAGCAAACAGTACAGAGATTATTTTCATTTCCAGCTACCTCAAAACTAGCTCAATGGTTTTCCGGCTTATTTAGTTCTTCCCAATATTGTTAATCCATTTTATTAATCTTTGGTAACTATTCTAAGATACTCATGGTTAGCTCCTAATCTCTATTTTCTTTATGATTGTTTTCATGCAAACAAATTGAAATCTTGCGTTCATGGAAGCTGCCAGATCCAAATTGTACCGTTCATATCCTCAGCTCTAGTATCAGTAATTTTATTCTGAATAAATTTATATTTGAATTAATTCAACTCACAAGTCAATGTGTGGACTTTTTCTAAATCTGCATGAATCCCCAATTCCTTGTGTATTGTCTTAAGTCATCTAATCATTTTTTTTTCTGGTTTTTTGGATACTATAAAATAAGTTAGTTCTCTCACACATTGGGGAGATATTTGGCAACAAATAGGATTTATAACAACTTTAATTTAGTATATTTTGTGAGTCAATTTTTACTTGACTCCTGAAATTTGATTGACATGATAGATGTTAGAACTTGTTTCTAATTTGTTTGGTATATATTTTCAAGATTCAAGATTTGAATGAAGATGAGAGGCATATGGTGAGTGGTGTCCCTTAACTTTCCCCCTTAATGGCATTTAGTAAATTCAATCTTTTACCTTAAAACTAGTGAAAAAATGAGATCTAAGAAGGTAATATAATTAATGTTGTTAAACATTATTTTTTGGAAAGATTTAGCCAAAATCTTGCAACCAAACAATCCCTTATAGTGATATTGTTTGAAAACTATGTCAATTCATTTTTCCAAGAAGCTCTTCATTAAAACCAATTACCAATAAAATCACATAGGAACAATGCTCTACAACGTTATCTATCACCTATTCAACCCATACAATCCATATTCAACACAGTGGGGCAACATCACTTGGGATTCTACAAATCTATAGACCTCATCAACTGGACTCCTCTCGACATTACTTTCAAGCCATCAGATCCCTATGAAACACGGACACGGGGACATAGATATGATACGGGGACACGACATAATTGAAAAAAGTTGGACACAACACGTCAAGGACATATTTTTATATTTAATTAACTATTAATATAAAATATATATTTTTTCATCATATTATATTAAGAACATCACAACACAAACTATACAAGAATAAGAGAGGTCTATATCTTATTTTTTGTACTATTATGAAGTGAATTTTTGCTTCTCAAGTATCAAATATATTGTTATGAAAGTTCTCTAAACAAACAAAATTACTACACAGAAACAAAATGATCATTTGTCCAGAAACAACTGCTGCACAACTGTTTTCAAACTGCAAAAAACAAACAATCAACCAACTTATTCGCAGTAACTTCCTGGGGCAGCTGTTGTGTAACGGCTTATTGATAAACTGCAGCTGCTCCAAACAGACCCTTAATGATGAAGATAATAGATGTGAAGTAAAAACTCATGCCATAGAAATCAATCATTTTATTTCTTTTAGTAAATAGTTGACTAAGAGAGATACAATCTTAATGTCATATACAACAATGTTTATTTTTTCTATATTATAAACTAAACAATATCTATGGATCCCTTATTTTTTAAAAGTTAATGTTATAAAACTTATTATCTCTTCTTCATTTTTCACAATATTTTGTCTATTTATTTTTCTATCTTTTATAAATTATATTACAATGGCATATTTGATGCATATCCATGTCCTATATTTTTAATCGTAAAAGTGTTGCGTGTCTGTGTCGTGTGGTTCCATATCCTCGTGTTCGTATCCGCGTGTCTGTAGACACGTGTTAGTATCCATGCATCATAAGAAGTGGACAAGAAGGTTTCACGAGAGACGCCCCAAAGAAATGTCACGTGAGTTCTTGCTGCATGGCACTGCATTACAATATTTGACCTTATCCTGTTATTATTACCACATACGCATGACTAATGAGCATTAAACCTTTACAAAATATTTGGATTTATACCAAACAACTTCTCAAGATTTTATGAACATATTTCTAACCAATCAAATAGTTAAACATAGTTTATAGCACAAGCTTAAAAAATTTATGGTTTATCTTCACTTAACTTACATAAATAGACAATCAAACTTGGCCTAACTCATCCATACCACCAGAAATCATGTAATTAGCACATTAAAACATAAAGTCAAATATCACTTCATAAAGCTATTAACAGAAACGCTAACTAACGAGCAATACACTTGGTATAAATCAAAGATCTTTGATCTAAATGCAAAAAAAACTAACTGAGTCAAGAGTCAAATATATTACCACAGATCAAAATAGAGTATATTCACTCATGATCCTTGCCAGATCCACCAACTATGGACAAGACCTGAGAATCTTTCTCCGACTATAATAAATTTAATCCTTTAATGGTACTGGAGATCGGAAGGAACAGCAATAGGGGGAAGGAAAAGGATCCCAAAAGATTCAGAAGTTGCAGATTTATGAAATATGTGCCAGAAGTGGAAATAATGAGTTCTGAACCATTCAAGGAGGTTTACCGGTGCAATATTCCGGCGATCGCCGTCCGATTAAGATTCCGGCGAACGGTATGCGGGAAGGAAATGGTTTACTGCCCACTTCCTGTGCCCTTTCACACACAGAAATTCTGGACAGCAACTGCTTTACGATACGTGCGCACGCGCCTCAATCTCAGCCATCCCTTCTTCAAGTTGGTTTTATGTACTTTTGACCCGCAGAGTTAGGTTTCGCAACCACTGTTCTGAGTCAACCCGTTATTTATTAGAAGTCAACTCAGCTCACTCAGTTCACTCAGTTCATCCGATTTCGATTCTGAGTCAATGTGCCTGATTATTTACATGGGGCTGTTTTAGGCCAAGAGTTTATAACAAAGGTGTAGACGATCCAAATATGAGCAAGCCCAGAGCTTGTTCGTGATCAGCTGATTCAAAACTGTTCGTGTTTGGCTCAATTTAAAATTGAATCGTATTAGTTCGTTCAACTCGAATTTGAGCTACACAAATTTACATATTTTGTTGATTTCAGTCATTTATTATTAATTATTTCCTAAGAAAATGGGAAATCGAATTACTTTCCACTTCTGCATTATATACAATATAAAAAACTTAATTTTTAAAATAGGATTTACAATAGGGCTCCTTTTAAATATAGATGAGGTGGGATTATATATAAAAGACAAGGAGAAGAAGCAAGCGTGCCAAATTCATATGGCCACGGGGTCATTTGCATACGTACCACCAATTCTTATATATTTACACATGCACAAGAGACAAGGGGTTTGCACGAATTTTTGGGAAAAATCTTATGATATTAAGAGACATGCCACTTAAAGGTGCGTTTGGGGCAACTTGTGCGTTTCAGAATAAGCAGCTTATCCTGAAATGTGGCCCGCGGAGCTCGACTCACAGCTTATCCTGAAATGCGGCCCGCGGGTCGACCGCGGAGCTCGACCCGAATGTGGCCCGCGGAGCTCGACTCACGGCCTGCGTTTTGTGTAAAAATGGAACCGTTTTTCGGATAAACCGGCAAAACGTGCGATCCAAACGGTACCGCTGTGTTTTTAAAAACTCCCCCGCACTTATTAGCTGTCTCAAATAGACCCTTAGTCTTATGTATCAATAAATCTTAAATTAGAAAAACAGGGAATATTTTAAGAGCATTGACATACATCCATCCAAATCCTATTTATTTATCTAACATCTAAACTTATATTTTATTAATAATTTTATCACCTAATTTTTTCTTAAAAAAAAATTTAATATTTACAATACATATGAAAAGTTTAATATAAATACATATTATTATTTAATTATTTCAAGCCAAAACAAACCAAACACGAGTGAACAAAAATTTGTTTAGGTTATGCTCGTTTATAAATCAAGCTAAAAAAAATTATTTATGTTCAACTCTCTTGCTTAAAGAACTAATTACACGTGTTGCTTAATGAGTAGAACTCGAGTTGTTTGCAAATGACGAGCATTTTTTAATAGCCTAGTTTATAAAAGTATCAAATTAATTCATGTCTTCTTAAATTAATGCTGAAATAGCCCTCATAAAAAAATATTATAAATTAATTTTAAAATAATTGAGGGTTATTATGACACTTTACCCCATTTTGAGCTGTGGCATGGACAAGGAGTAAATGGGAGTCAAATTAGGGTATTTGATATGTTCACGCCAAATTTGGGGATTTAACGAGCATCCTAATCTTAATTTTGGCGTGGTTGGCGTGATTTAGATGTGGAACTACGTAGACATCTCGTTTGTAATATCACTTTAATTTTACTAATTTATTTTTAAAATGTAGATTTGAAATAAGTTATTTGCAAGTTTGTATTATTATTTACATTTAATTTTTTAACACATAAACATTGTCTCATCCCAATTTGATAGAACATTTTTAACACATAAACATTGTCTCATCCCAATTTGAAAAAATATCAGACATATGTAGAAGAGCCCAATTCAGCCCCTCTTAGAGGAAAAATTATTATGTCCGGACACCGCACGTTCAGACGACTAACCATCGTGGTCACATTGTCATACAAGTCAGCGGCGGGTAATCTGCCGCTGATGATTGGTCGTCCGGATGTCCGGACGGAATATTTTTTTTCTCTTGGAGGGCTTACACTAGTAAGTCTTATTTATTAAATTTTTATTAATATGAATTATTTTTAATTAAAAATGAATAATTTTTATGATGAATTCAAAAAATTTACAGATACATATAGAGGAGTAAAAAATAATAGGGTAAATGACAACAATGATGTTACAAAAAAATAAATAATTTTTATGTCCAACAGTTACATCACTACATCATTCAACATCATGATACTTGAAACCATTGAAACAACATATATATATAATATTATCGCTTAAAATAAGGATTTAATAGAGAAGACAACATTTGGTATTGAATGGAATTTATATGTTGGCATGAATCTCGAGTCATTTTGAATCTTGAGATACTTTTTTGAGCAATAAACATTTAACTTCAGATTAAAAATCATCCATAATTTTGATTTCAGCACACTTACAATCAAACTGATCAACTCAACAAGTCGAACCCAATGAATAAATACAATGCCCGACTATTAGCTAAAGATACACACAATAAAAAGGCATCAATAATTCTAATACCTTCCTCCCTCCCATACATAGCAAGGATGGTGATCTCATGAAAGAAGTTTAGATAGACCTCCCTTTTGAGTTATATTAAGCAGAGGGGACTATTAGACAAATAAACTTATATAAAGACTGCACTAGTCTACATATGGTCTCAAGCAAGCCTCTCTTTAGTGGTACTCAAAATTTTGTAATAAGGCGAGCACAAAGAAATAAATCTAAAGACTGATGCTGCTGGGTCGGCAATATATCCAAGGAAAAGCAAGAAATAAATCTAAAGGCAGTTCGACGTGTCAAGCGCTTCAGAACCTGTGCTCATACTTTATTTCCAATATAAAACTGATCCTAAGGAATCTATCAAACACATGACAAAATAAAAAAAGGACTCGACATGTAGAAAAGTCAGCATAGATTATATCCTGCAACACATATGAGCCATGCCTGGTGGGAGGAGCTTAGAAGTACCCTCAGAAAATATTAATCTTTAAATCACTACTTGCTCCTCCCTTTTTATGTGTGTGTGTCTTTAGGTATGGCTCTCTGGAAGAAAACCGACAATAATATAATATTGCACATGTCCACACTTAACAAACACACAAAAGCACGAGCAAAGTGATGCCTAACTAGGGCAACCAAACCAGCAAAGAACAGTAGCCAGACATTGAAAAATACTACCAAGCACCCTAATCGTGACATAACACACAATCTAACGAAAGTGTCCTAACACAACATCTGAATATGCACAAGGTTATATGGGTGAAGGCTCCTGTATGACCTTGATGGGGTCACCAATTCCAACCCCATCCTAAGGATCCAAGGGATCTAACAAATATCACCCAAGATAGATTTAAGAAAAAAAACCTATTTGTACATATGGTCTAGCTTCTTATTAGTATAGTTATAGAATTAGGATAGACATCATAAGTAGAAAAATAAATTTATTATTTTAAAATAGGGCTATTAAATGAAGACTTGTAACATGCAATGTGACACAAGTTATATTCTTTGGATCCTTAGCACAGTCATACTTATGTCAATCTCGATGCTTTAACTCGCACTGCTCCCCGGGATCTACCTGGCAAACAAAACTCATTAAATCATTGTGACCGACACGGGTTCATTCACTTATCGAGTATGGATTGCTATCAAATCATGCAGACAAATGCAAATGCAAGCAGACATTACATAAGGTTCAACACCGTGATTACTCAATTAGGATATGAGTAAACACGATGAAAGATCATCAAACAACATGCAAATGATGAAACTCAAATACATACATGTTGCACACTCAGCACACTCAACGGGTTCAGAGGGTTCAGAGGCTCTAAGGCATGACCTGAATTGAGTGAACAACATACATAGCTTGTGGAAGCCAAATGCTGCTACAAGAGATGAAGGGTGTGTCCTCCTCTAGGGAAATTCACTCACCACAGACTAACATAGCTAGTCGCAAATCACCAAAGGAATGTGAGTATCGAGCCTAAAACCCATGTTATGCACATGTAGGGGAGATACTGTGGTTTTCTGTGCTTGAAGAGACACCTAATATGACGCGTACCAAAGTCAAAGTATCATGCAAATGAGTTCATCAAAAGGTATTTTTCATGCACACATGTGTGAATGCAAACCAAGTCATGCACCATCATGTGAATGATGTGAATGCACATGCAAAGCATACATCAAGAAAGTGATATTGGTCGTTTGATCGATTGGGTCGACCAAGGTGGTCGACCCGGGACATCATAGACAATGGGTAGATCAAACCGAGGGTTCCAGATTGGACCCAAGTTACTGGTCAACTGGGCTGTACTGATCGGTTGGACCAAGTGGTTGGTCACCCAGGAGGGGCGGCCGGTTGGACCAGATGACACAAGCAACATGCATATTGTAAAGACATTCATCATGACAAGGCATACAAAGCAATGCAAATGATAAAGTCCAATAATGAGTCATACCCGTCCTAGTGCTCTCGTATAGGCACCTCGGTTTTAACACATGGATGTGCGGCATAGCTGCCTCCAGTCTTGGCGAAAGATGTAGGGAATTTTGCCCTCCGATTTCTAGAAGGAAAAATTCTCATATCTTGTAGGATGAACTAGCTACAAAACTTTTTTTCATCATACAAATCCCAAGTGTTCCTACCCATCCATGGAGGGTTAGAACAGTCAAAGCTAGGAGAAATACAGATTCCAACCATTTAGGGTTGGTGCTTAGGCTTTTACAAGGATATCACTCGGATTCATACAGGATTTGTCCACACAATTCCCTATCCTAGTGGTTTTATATAGAAAATAATAACCTAGCCTTAATCTAGCTAACGAAAGGAAAACACAAGGGTAATAATGTATCACCTAAGAGATGTTTGATGATGTCCTCGATTGCAATGATGAAGCTCTCCTCAAGTAGGAGAGTAGGTTCTCTCCTCTTTCTCCCAAGTGTGAGAGGAAGCTCCTCCTCCTCTCCAAAACTCTATTCTCTTCCAAGATTTCTCAAACCTCCCTCTTTTTCTTAGAAAATATGTGAAGATGAAA